CCTGGCCCTCGAACATGAACTCTTTGCAGCCAGCTTCAGGTTCCGTGCTGGAGAACAGCATCATGTTGATGAACAGGATCAGCACCGAGGGCGCGCAGCCCTGCTTGTATGCCTCATCTGGAATACAATTAAAGCGTTATATTACTAACATTATAAAAGCGAAAGTTTAGATGGATGGAAGTTTTTTTAGAGTTTGTAGCCTACACGGCTGAAGGGATCTCGATGAAATTTGACATAGATGTAGAGAATAGTCTAGAAGAACTCATAGACTACTTGCTTTTGTTTTTATCAATTCCGCGCGGACGGAATCGCCGGCGAAAGTTAGTAGATTCATAAATGTGGTTAAAAGTAATTATTCTTTTTATAAATAAAGTTTATCGAACTCCAGGATATAAAAGCAAATAAAACCAAGTTTACATTTTTATTTTTAAATTAAACATACCAAATAAACATTTCGGTGTGCTTAGTTTAAAAAAATATGCACACAAATTGATAACCTCCTTCTTGTATTTGTTTTTATACCCCTAAATTAAATAAAACTAGAATTGTATTAAGTGGGGATTTTAAGCAATACCTGTGGAGAAGGTGCTGTAAGCGACCCATTTGTAGAACATCATGAACACCATGTAGAGGAAGAGCAGACATAGGAACACTATTTGCGGGATGAACTCCAAGATGATAGAGTAGCGTCTCTTGAAGAAACTGAAATGTAAAAAAAAATCATCTAATACACTCTTCATATAATACGCTGTATGTACTTTTGGTCTCTTTTCCGTCCCCATCCTATTGCTATAAGGACAGAAAACTCAATCATTCCTTAAAGGAAGTGAATTTGACAGAGATGGGGGTGCATGGGAAGGGAAAATATCCTCTATCTGTGTCCCCTCCATCGATTAAAGGTAACGTATCTGATCTAGTAGATGTCTATGGACGGTCGCTTCGCTATTCCGGCGAATTCAAATAGATAAATAAAATATCTTATTATTATAAAAGCGAAAGTTTAGATGGATGGATGTTTGTTAGAGTTTTTAGACTAAATTGCTGAACGGATTTCGATGAAATTTGACATAGATGTAGAGGATAGCCTGACAGAATACATAGGCTAATCACTCTTGTTTTTTTAATTCCACGCGGACAAAACCGCAGGCGAAAGCTAGTTAGTAAGACAAATAAGGTAAACTGACTTGTAGTTGACGACACTCATGCAGACACCGAAGATCATGTGCAGGACACCGAAGATGATGGACAGCTTCATTTTGTACGAGTTCAAGAAAATGATCTTGTTGTCAGCGGACTGAAAATAAAAAAAAAATGTTAATTTTAAGTAATTAAATAAAAAAATCTATTATACTAGCTTTTCCGTAAGTTTCAGCATGCTTAAAGCTTTCAGTTCCAAATAAACATTCAAAATGATTATGACAAGCTGCTATTGGTTGAGAGTTTAAGTAACCTTTTTTCCTTGATGTTGTCAGCTTGTAGTTTATGTCCCTTTCTCGCATGACAGTTATTTCCATTTGCTTTACTGCTAATTTTAATAGCTTGAAAACATATAATCTAAAGCGTGTTGTGGAGTATAGGGTTTTTATTAAAAAAAGAATTTAAAAACATATGATTGCAGACATTCTACAAATCTAAGTAATGTGTATTTACGCTTATTAGTATTAATAAGCGTAAACACATAATATGTTTTTAAATTCTTTTTTTAATAAATCTATACAGATTATAAAAAAATAGTGAAAAGTATTGAAAATAGATAAAAAGAAACTAACTTGCCAAATAGGATCAATACCAATGAAGTATGGTTTATTGATATACGAAGCTTTAGGGTCGAGTGTGAGTGAGGCGGACTTCTCGAGGGTCTCGTTGTCGTACGGCACGTACCAAGTGGAGCCGAAGATGTTCATAGACTTGGAGAATATATCGTTATAGACCAAACCGGTGTACATAGAGAAGCAGCCCATGAGAAGGATGATGTAGCGACCGGCGAAGAAGATATTCCATATTTCGTTGTTGGATTTCTTAGCGGCGAGGGAGACCTCTTTGATGACCATCCAGGCCCCGAACATGGCCATGATGCAGCCGTGGCCGAGGTCCCCGAACATCACCGCGAATAGGAACGGGAATGTGATTATCGTGTACAATGCTGGAAGTAAAAACATACTACTTATAAATAAAATAAATAAATACCTATACTAGTTGTTGCCCGCGATTTCGTCCGTGCCTTCAAACTTAATTAGTAGCTTTTCTTCCAGACGTCCCTACGTCTTTGCTGTTTCAACGCAATCCATTTAGTTGCTCACTTCCATCCATCTAAATATGCATATTCTCTGTTTATCTAAACTATGATATAGTAGGATCGTGGTCTAGTTATAAAAATCTAGGCGATTGTGAAGAGAAAAAACGTTTGGACAGATGGATGGATGGACGTTGTTAGAGTTTGTTGCCTAAAGCTTGAATAGATCTTGATAATATTTAGCGAAGGTTACATAAAGTCTAGAATATCATATAGACTAAATTTTTGTTTTTTTTTTAATCCAGACGGAAGGCGAGGGCGAAAGTTATTGTTTAAAAGTAAATTTACCAGGGTTGCACTCGCGGTAGGAGGCGACGCCGTAGGAATCGATGAGGTTCTGGAAGCCGCGCGTGAAGCGGTTGGTGCGGTTGAAGGTCGGCGGCTCCTCCTCCGTCTCTATGCAGTTCAGGAACGACGGGATCGAGCTGCCGCACGCGTTCTATAAACACAATATAATATTAAAAATATTAGAATCACCTTAAAAATAACGAAAACAGTAATTGCGTGCAACATCAATGATAAATTAAAAAAATAACCTATACATAAATCAGCGTTTCTGTCAAATTCCCGTAAAAAGTGGTCCAACCGTTCTAAAAATCGAATTTTCATGCTCAAATATTTTGAATTCAATACATTTATGGTCATCATCAACTCTACCTTATCCTACTCCAAGATATATTTAAGGTCAAATAAATAATAAAATTATAGTAAAAACTAACAGATCCGTCTGCCAGAGCCTTCTGCACGTTGGGCAGGTCCGCGGTGGGCACCCAGCACTCGCCGATGAGGCACTTCTTGGTGACGTCCATGTTGAAGAGGTTCAGGGTGTGGTAGATGGCCTTCATCTTGCGCACCATTATGGACCAGCTCGCCAGCTCCTTGGCCACGCTCACCAGCACCCGCTGTCTGTGGTCGCGTGTTTGATTTAGCACCTGTAACATAAATTTATATATTAAATGTATAAAAAAAATGTGTCTTACATAACCAAAAAAAGCATCTATGATATTTGTATTACAATATAAATTTATATACTTTATAAGATTTTTGAACAAATAAACATAGGTATTTCCCGTTGGCTCATAGGATACGCCCTATGGGAATGATTTTCCCTTAATAATTCCCATTGGACCGATCGAATCATACAATCAACACATTGTCTTGTTACCCAATGGGTAAAAAAACAATGTGTCGATCACTCCATAGGCCGAAATTCCCAAAGGGAAACCCCATAGTAAAAAACTCAAAGAGTTATATCAACGAAAAATTTAAATTAAAAGGGTCTATTTCACGTATCGTTTATGTAAAATAAAGGTATTTTTAAACAGTGTTACTAG